GCTCCTTTCCTTCAGATGCTGCCTGGCTTGCTGTGTTCTTCCAGCCTCCTGTTTGTCCATCTTGGATTCCAGCATCTGCAGTTTTTTTTTGTCTCTAACCAAGTTTATACCACTGCAAAGTCTCTTCGAAGGATGCCCACTTTGAAGAAGTTCTCTGCCTCCCTCAGACATGAACTCAGCGAGTCCCTTTCTCACTATCAAACTGCTGTGACCTCTCCAGCCCTTCATCTCTTCGACGACACCATCAAACAAACCTGCTGCTACAGCCACGTAGCTCCTATCGTCACCACCATCTCATCCCTGAAGGGCCTACAGGTACATTGTTAAACCCTCAAAATTTGGACCCACCCTCAAAGCTCCATACTCATAACACCTTCAATGCCTCTAGAAACAATTCTCTCTCCAGAGGCCCCGCTCAACCCTCTGTGCAATGCACCGGCACCTCCACTCGCTCTCCTCATCCCTCCCCCAGCTCAAGCCCTCCATTTCCCGAACTTGCAGAGGACCTCTACCCTTCTTTATTCAACGCAGAATCCACACACTCAACAAACGACTTTTCTACTTCATATCGCCCAGTAAAAATCATAAGTTTGCAAGACTCTCCTCTAGCCACTCAGCGCTCACAATCCGTGTCCTGTTTCCAGCCAGCTCCAGGCCAATCCCCCAACCCATGCTGCTGCCATTATGCAAGTGCAGACCTCATCCTGCGCTGAACCTCTCTGGTCTGACTCCGCTTCCGGTTCCAGTCCAGCACCCGCGCCTCCGCAACCATCATCCGGAACCCACAGTAATCTACCTTCGACCTCTGTCTCTGCTCCAGACCACTCCACAAACGCTGCCCCGGATTCCACCGCTGAAATGACTGGGACCAGCCTCGACTTCCCTGTAACTTCCTCCTCCACTCTGCCCGCTTTCCAATCAACACACGGACTCCTATCCCCAGGGTCACTCCTGGTTCCTACTACCGACCTGGACCTAGCCAGCACACCTCTCCCTCCTCATCCGTCCAGCCCCACAATACACCCTACCCCTCCACCTCTCCTCCCTCCTCTCTACCTCATCTTTCCCTCCATCCAATCCTCCATCCCACACCCCACTCTCCCACTCTCCTTTCCCTCCCACAACTACTACCCCCCCACCACACTGCATCCAGTCATCACTGTCGAATGCTATCACCCCTCCACCTCCCCTCCGTCGGCCTTCTCGAGACCCACCCCCCCAAAACCCCACCCCTGAACCTTGCTGCATATTCACCACCCCTCCTGACCTCGAGCTCTCTGAGGTCAAATGGTCTGTCCTCAGTAAAGGGCTTACGCCTGTGCCCCTCCTCTCCCACCTCAATGAGTTCTCTGCCCACCACGACGTGGACCTCATCTTCCACCGTCACCGTCTCCGTCTCCCTGCCTACTTCTCCAATAAAGAATCCCAACCACCCTCTGGGGACCCCTTCTCCCGCGTCCCACCATCCTCCTTCCTTTTGGACACCCCTTGCTGACCTCTTACCCGCCCTGGGTCTCTTCATTGCCAACACGACATCGACCACCTTGATTTCTCCACCCCTGCTCACCCACTGCATCCTCTCCCCCTCCGAACGTGCAATGCTCCACTCTCTCCACACCAATCCCATGTTTCACTATCAAACCCGTTGAGAAAGGCAGGGGCGGTGGTAGTCTGGAGGATGGACCTCTTTGTCGCAGAGGCCCAACGCCAACTCTCCGACACCACGTCCTACCTCCCCATTGATCACGACCCCACCACGGCCCATCAAGCCACCGTCTCCCACACTGGCCATGACCTCATCACTTCCAGTGACCTCCCCTCCAACTGCCTCCAGCCTTATATTCCCCCAGCCCCACACTGCCCAGTCCTACCTGCTTCCAGTCCTAAAGGAGGGTAATATCCGAAATGTTGACTGTGCCTGTCCTCCAGATGCTGCTTGGCCTGCTGTGTTCTTCCAGCCTCCTGGAAGATATAGTTTGGGAAAATTGGTTTTGATGTCCTGATAACCAATGGCCATTCTGTGGTTGATTCAAACCATTTTAGAAGCAAATTGGATAAAAGATGTCTAAACCTAAAAAGATGTATTTTCTGAAGAAGGGTCCCTACCCGAAACGTCAGCTTTCCTGCTCCTCTGATACTGCCCGGCCAGCTGTGTTCCTCCAGCTCCATGCTGTGTTGTCTCTGACTCCAGCATCTGCAGTTCTTGCCATCTCCAAGAGTTATTGCCCAATATTTGGTGTTTGTGTCCAACAAGGATCTTCTCTCATCCTTCATCATTTAACGTGATCAACATATCCTTTAATACTTTTCAGTTCAATTCACTTATCTGGTTTTACCTTAAAGCTGTCCAAGCTAGGCCCCTCAGACTTGTAGCTAGATAATGAACGTAATTTCTCAGGCCAAAGGGATCAAATGGGAATATTTCCAACTCTGTTGCATGAACAGTAACCTGGTGGAGTCGAACGTCAATCTAGAAACCGTTCAATTTTCATGCCACAGAAATAAAAGTGTTAAAATCAGCTGGTTTTCATCTTGATTTGCTTTGTCAGATTATCACTGAGACTGTGAATGTAAAATTACCACACTGTACTTTTGGTTTTTTTAAGTCAGTGTATCAGTTTCCAGTTGATTCTAGGAAGAAATACCTTAGCATTAGCACTTTGATTCTCAATTCCCCCATTGGACGATGTCTGATCTTGTTTCAGTTTGTTCTCAGGATGTGAGCAATGCTAAAAAAAAAGGGACACTCATTGCCCACCCTGAGATGGTGGTAAGCCTCCTTTTGCAGCTTGTCAGCTGCTGGTACTCCCTTGTTGGTTTTAGGTAGGAAACTCCAAGGTATTGACCCAGGACAATGAAGGATCAACTCTTCAGGACAGGAGGATGCGGCACAGGATGCTGTTCCCATAGTATTGTTGTCCTAGTGTTTCTTTTCATGGTAGAGGCATTGCTGTTTCTGTTCTTTCAAATAGAAGCGGGTGTGAATCTGCAATGCACCCTATAAATGCCATAGATCTTATAGATGCATAGATACTGATCTATCTGTGATGTTCCAGCAATGGGTCTGATCTAAATGCAGCTGAAGTTATCTGCTTGATTTTGGAGGACGGATAGGTACCATAAACATTGGCATTGGGTAAGCAGTTGTACTGTGTCTTCTGTCTATCTTGGCACCATGCCACACTTCCTGCTGATGTTTTGGTGGGCAGTTCCAAGAATGACATTATTGTTTTGTTCCCAGGGGATTATCCTGCCTCAGATTATCATTGGTTTCTTAACTAACATCTTAAATGCTGTCATCAATTACGTCCTGCTATTTGTACTGATGCTAGGAGTGCCGTAAGTAGTATAAACCTTTCATTTCAAAGAAAATATGTTCAATGAAAGTGTCATAGAATGATGATGTAGGCGTTATTTGAAACTGCCTTTATATTTGCAAACTTGATGTTTTCCAGGGGCTCAGCAGCTGCTAATGTGATTTCTCAGTACTGCCAAGTTATTTTCCTGTTTGTTTACATTCGATGGAAAAAATTGCATGAAAAGACTTGGGAAGGTAGGTTTTGGGGGTATATTACATTTTGGGCAATGGCATGAAATGGACAATATCCAGTTGTCCACCAGATACACACTTTCTCCAATTCCCCTTCCCAATGAAACCTATGAGGAGATACATTGGATAGCATATCGGATTCTCTTTCCTTGTAAAACTCTCACTTATTTGAAGCTCCTTATTTCTTGATCTGTTTCCTATTTTCTCTCTCTGTTCTACCCTTCCTTTCCTGTTTCATGCCATGTTACATTCCTATGGTGCTGCCAACTTCCATCACCATGGGCCATGTTCCCTGTTTGAGCCTGGACAGGGAGTGACAACAGGTTACAGATCACAGAGGAGGTCACAGGCAAATGTGTCCCAACAGAGCTGCACTGCTACAATTTCCATAAAGCACTCCCCATGAGGGCTGCTTCTTACACATTGCATAATCATCCCTGACACTGACACATTTCATGACCAAACGACCCAACAGGAAAAAACTCCAGGGTCAGTTAGAAAGCTGAGTTGAGTTGGATGATACTAATGTGCTTTATCTTTGATGTGCCCTATATTCCTTTCTCTTGATGAGCTTCTCAGGTGCTTTCTGTGCTGTGTTAGTAACTTCATTGATATCTCTACAGGATGGTCCACTGACTGCCTGCAGGAGTGGGGTCCCTTTCTACAGCTGGCAATTCCCAGCATGGCCATGATATGTGTTGAATGGTGGTCTTTTCATATTGGAACATTCCTCGTAGGTAAATAAATTACCTCATTACTAAAAGAAAATCACACCTTCCACTGTAATAGAGCCACAGGATTTATAGTTCAGAGCTTGGGATTAATGTTCAGAAAACCAGAGTTCAAACCCTCCGCAACTATTAGTGGAAATTATGTTCAGTCCCTAAATCTGAAAAGAAGTGCTAGTAACGATCCCAAAATGACTACTTGTTTTACTTATGCTTTTACTTATATGCATTTGTCAGAGGTGGGCATTGCTGGCTGTGCCAACATTTATTGCCCATCCCTTATTGCCCTTGACAACGTCAATCAGTAACAGTTCTGTGGGTCTGCAAGCACATTTAGGACAGACCCCATAAAGGATTTATGGTGGCCCGATGGAAGTGTCACTGGATTAGAAATCTAGAACTCCAGACTAATGCTCTGGGGACATATCTTACCTCCGATGATTGTGAAAGTTGAACTTGATAAGAATCTAGAATTAAAAGCTAGTCTAATGGCGAGCATGTGTTGATTGTCATAAAAACCCATCTGGTTCACTAGTGCCCTTGAGGGAAGGAAACCTGCCACCCTTGCCTGGTCTGCCCTATATGCGACTCCAGACTACAGCAATGTATTGGCTCTTAACTGCTCTCTGAAATGGCCTAGCAAGACACTAAGTCATATCAAACAATCACCAGTGATTTGCCTAGTTGGCCTTCACAACTGGAAATGGCAGGTTTGCAGAGCTTAGATCTGATCTATTAGTGTGGTATCGGTTGGCTCTGTGTACCACTTACTGTTTATGCTGTTTGGCTTGCAAGTAGTCCTATAGTGTGTAGCTTCACCAGGTTCTCGCCTCACTTTAGGTATGCCTGGTGGTAATCAAGGCATGCCATCCTGTACTCTTCACTGAACCAGGGCCAATTCTTTGGCTTGTTGGTAATGGTAGAGTCGGGGATATGCCGGGCCACGAGATTGTGTTTGAGTACAATTCTGTTGCTGCTGTCCCACAGCCCCTCATGGATGCCCAGTCTTGAGCTACCAGATCTGTTTGAAATCAGTATTCATTCACAGGATGAAGGTATCGCTGACTAGGTCAGCATTTATTGCCTTAATTGGCCAGAGGGCAGTTAAGAGTCAACCACATTGCTGTGGGTCTGGAGCCACATGTAGGCCAGACCAGATGAGGATGGCAGCTTCCTTCCCTAAAGGACATTAGTGACAATTGACAATGGAATTCATGGTCATCTCTAGATTCTTAATTCCAGATATTTATTGAATTCAAATTCCACGCTCTGCCGTGATAGGGTTCAAACCAGGATCCCCAGGAGTTCTGAGGAAGGGTCACTGGACCCGAAACGTTAAGTCTGATTATTTTCTTCACGGATGCTGCCAGACCTGCTGAGCTTTTCCAGCAACTTCGGTTTTTGTGCCCAGGACGTTACCTGGGTTAACAATCCAGTGACAATTCCACTAGGCCATAGCCTCCCAATGAATTCCACTCAGTACAGTGATAGTGCCAGCGTAAAATGCTGCGGGGTATCCTCAATGTGAAGACAGGATGTTGTTTCCACAAGGGCTGTGTGGTGGTCACTCTTAACTGAGGCTGTCATGGGCAGATGCATATGGTGAGGATGAGGCAAGTATATCTTTCCCTCTTGTTGGTTCCCTCACTACTTGGAGCAGATTCAGTCTGGCAGCTCTGCCCTGTAGAACTCCACCAGCTCCAGTAGTAATGTTGCTGCCAAACCACTCTTGGTAATAGTGGCACCCACTAGTTTGAAAGACCTGCAGAATGCCCCAGACTCTGGCCCTGTGTCTCAGGATAAAGGAAGGGTTTCCTTCTGGACAGTTGTGTGTGAGAGCATGCCACACCCACAAAGACACGCTTACATTTATACAGTGTGTTGTGGATGTCCCAAAACATTTTATAGCCAGGGAAGTACCCTTGACATGTAGTCAGCTGGTAATGTCGGAAACACTGGAGTCTCATGGCTCATTGGTGTAAAGTTGACCTGTTTTGAAAAGCTTATTTGAGAAAGCAAAGGCATAAAAGAAGGACCCCTGGAAACACTGGGCAAAGGGTGTGCGTATCAATGCAGTGAATATTTGACACCGAAAGTCTTGTTCAGTTCCACACCTCTGTTACATGGAGAGGATTTGACATTTTGCATATGTTATGATTAACTGTATTGTTGCGGAATTAAATTTTCCATTCCATTTTGTTGTTGACCACAATAAAAAATTTTAATTTCCATAAAATGCAAGTACAAGATGGGAACTCGCTGAGCTCTCCACTGCAAAGCTAGGGTGGCAACAGAGAAACAGTTTGCAAATCACCCCCCAAGGAACCATTGATGCTACAGGTATTTCAGGAGAGACCCTGTCTGTTTTGGCATTGCACTATTGTTTTCAACATTTAACTCAACTGTTTCAAAGCCTGTATCATAGTCATGTATCAATTTTGGCCCTCGATGAATTTAAATTGTACAGCTCTTATAAGAAGCTGGCGCAGATATGATGGGCTGAATGGTCTCTTCAGTGTTGCCAAAGTGAATATTCTGTTTCTCAGTCCATGCTCCTGCCCTGTTGCACATACTGGACATCGCTTAATGGAATTACAACCCAAAATAATCCACTTTATTTAGCAGGTGGTTCAACATTGGCAGACCCCTGGAACCCTGACATCTCCCCATCCTCTCAGATCCAGGTCCTGGAGAGAGCGGTGGAGTGAGGGCAGACATTGAGACAATGATTGGAGGGTAACTCGATGTTGGCAATCACTCGCAAAACGAAGCAAAAACACAAGAAATGGCTTGTGTTCTGTTGAAATGCTTATTCCACATTTTTTCTTTCTCTCTGGAAGTGCCAGTTTGCTTTAATAAATTTGAATTTTTTGTTTGTTCTTGTTTGCAGGGTTAATTAATGAAGTTCAACTTGGAGCCCAGTCCATTATTTTTCAGACAATCACAATAGCATACAGGGTGAGAATGAAATTATGTCAATGTATACTATTTACATGCCTAGAGCGTTTTTAACTGAAGTGTCGCAATTTTAATGCAACAATGGAAGATAATTACTCTTTACAATTTGGAAAAGGCGCCAAATTAAGGGTAAACAGTTTCCTTTTTTACCTGCACTTCCAGGAAGGGAGTCCATTCTGCATTTGGTCCTTAATTAATTTATTAAGTTAACAACTATATGTTTGAAGAGTCACCAAAAGGCAATCAAAGAAGGAGGCAATTCAGCCCATTTTGTTAGCAACGATGCTAACTCTTCACCTCCAGCAATCTTCACTAATTCCATTTCTTCACTCTTCTGTCCCACTGTTTTATGTTCTTCCTTTTCTAATACTTATTCAATTCCATTTTAGTCAGGTTATGGTCTCTTTCTCTCTCTCTGTCAATAGCTCTTTATGCTCCATGTTCTAATACCCTACTCTGTGAAAGCATTTCTTATAACCTCCCTCCTTTGTCCTTCATGCCTGGATAAAGTGGTAGCACAGAAATAACACTGATGGCTTTGACAGCATGTGCCTGGCACCCATCTGGATCATTCATGGCACGTGGAGGACATTTTCAACCTGCCATTGAGACACTGTAGTGAAAGAACTTCTGAGTACCTCACTTCACTCTTCAACAATTATAATGTTCTTATAAAGCATATTACCCAAGACACCTCATGGGAGCAATATCCATCAACATTTGTTAAGGAGATATTAGGACAAATGACCAAGAGATTTGTCAAAATTGATGCGTTTTAAATAATGTCTTTAAATGGTAATTCCCAAAGTTTGGTCCATGGACCATTGGTAACCTACGAATGTCTACCATCTGATCCCTGAGCTGGTCTAAAATACATGTCACTCAAGCTGATACACTGGCAGAGCAGTTTCTTTCTGACTAAATTAGAGGGAAGAGAACAGTGCCCAGGTAACTGTTGCTGCTCTTGTTCCTGCAGGTGTCTGTAGGGTACAGTGTGTCTGCAACTGTTCATGTGGGGAAAGCGCTTGGAGGCAGTAATCCACAGCAGGCTGTAAACTATGCAAAAGTTGCTATATACTGCGATGGTGAGTCTCAACAGTTTAAAATGATATGAGGTTCTATATGTCAGCCCATGGAACATCTATAAAAACCTGAATATTTGCATATATTAATTGACGGACTGACTGTCTGACTGTGACTGTGACTGTCTGACTGTGACTGTGTCTGACTGTGACTGTGTCTGACTGTGACTGTGTGACTGTCTGTGTCTGTGACTGTGACTGTGTCTGACTGTGACTGTGTCTGACTGTGACTGTGGGACTGTCTGACTGTGACTGTGGGACTGTGGGACTGTCTGACTGTGACTGTGAGACTGTCTGTGTCTGTGACTGTGTCTGACTGTGACTGTGTCTGACTGTGACTGTGTCTGACTGTGACGGTGTCTAATTGTGACTGTGTCTGACTGTGACTGTGGGACTGTGGGACTGTCTGACTGTGACTGTGGGACTGTGGGACTGTCTGACTGTGACTGTGAGACTGTCTGCGCGTGACTGTGAGACTGTCTGACTGTGACTGTGAGACTGTCGGACTGTGACTGTCTGACTGTGAGACTGTCTGACTGTGACTGTGAGACTGTCTGACTGTGACTGTGAGAC